CAAACCAAAATGGAGCAAATGCTCATAAGCTCTGCTCAGTTTTGGCCTGGTAAGAACCCAAATCTAAAAGGCAGCAGCTTTGTGTAAACAGAAATTATGAAAAGTCAGTTTTGCTGAGGAGTCCCAGATGCAGCACAATTCTTACTGGCACGAGACATGAGTTTCTGTTTGTCTGTGACTGGTTTGCAAACCTGCTGCAAACAGGATGAGTAATCACACTTGCTCTTCAAATAGTCCAACAACATGATAACGTGTAGCAGTGTTAACAGCCAGGCCACAGCATCTCACACATTGAATTGTCCTGGCAGCCCTTGAAGAAATCAGTTTACTGCTTGAACTTAGCATACCCTAAAGAAAAATGCTTTAATGCTGAAGCCTTCCTTTAAAAGCATCCATTTTCACCAAAAAAACACCAACCAAATACTATCAAAAAAACTCCAAAAGAAACCATTTGTTTTAAATTAATTTGTTTTAAATTAATCTAAACAAAAACTTTAAGAGCAAACAGAAGGGAAAGATTTATTTTGTAGTTAAGCAGCACTTCATTTGTAATGATTGTCAAGTGTCCACATGCAGGAAGTGAAAGGAACTAAACTTTACTCTCCCAAGTGGTGTCCTACAAGTTAGAGAAAATCTGTTTGCTTTCAATAAGTAAGGAAAACAATGAAAATATTTGGCTTGTAGGTTATTTAAGTGTTTTCCGAGTGTCATCTGGAAAAAAAGCAAGCTGCCTTTTCATAAGTATCTGCCTGTGTTTTGATGTTATTGTGAAGCAAACAAACATCCATCCCTATTCCTGGTGGTCTGACTGTACTTAGGCACTGCCCAGGGCAGAGGAACACCTCCGTGTTGCAGCTGAAGGAGTCACAGAGATTCTGAACTGGATCCACCCATAGATCTCAGATCCTGGTAAAGCAGATTAACACCTTTCACCATATGCCAGTCAGTCTAAAATTACTAAATCACATTGTTACCAAGCTGTTATCAAAAACTCTCAGGAGAGGAATTGCCTAACTTTAAGTGTATTTATTTTTGTATGTGAAAACAGTGTGTTCCATGACTATCGCTACTGGTTTATCATGGGTTTTAGGCTCATTTTTAGTCTCATTTTCTGTTACAATTCATCCTGAGTTATGGCCCTTATAGTGCAGTTCTTGTTAAGCAAAGTTCTCTCTTCTCTTCACTAGAGGGCACCCCACAACCATACATAAGCAACTACCAATATGATAACATTTCAGCAAGTAAAATAAAGTTCTTCACAGGACAACTGAGTTTTAGACTGATAAATGAGGGACTAATTAAAACCAAAATTATTTCTGGTCCAATACTGCCATTACCAGAAGTTTCCCTGATTACAGTTCCCATCAGTGAGTGAGTTCAGTGGCTGTGAGCACCTGTCCTGGGCCAGAATCAAACCGAGATCAAGAACTATTTTCATTTTTAGGTGAGTTATTCTGCATCCAGTCTGCAACTGAGAATAATCCAAGTCAAGGAGCCTCGGTGTACAAGTGTTCTATCCAGCAAATTCAACTGCTGCAGTTGCAGCTAAACTTGGTGGCCAAGTCTGTTCTGACAGTGTCTGGCCTGGAATGCTCAATCTCTTCTCTTTTCCCCCCAGAAAGTTCCCTACTCTCTTGGTATTTCTCCTTTTATATGATCATGCTTTTGTTAAAACTTAGAGTAGCCATTCAGAAAAATCCCTTTTCCTTTTCCCTCTCTTTGGGCAGGATGTCCTCCCGAGGATGATGGGTCACCACTTGAAGACTGATCTCAGGAAGGACAAATCAATTCTGCAGTGAGTCCTGGTGCTCCTTTTAACAATCAGCATTCCTGGTTCCCAGGGCTCTTCCTTTTCAGTAAGGCCTAAACACCTCAAGTCGTTCCTGCATATTCCCTGGAGTATTTCACCATCTCAAGACAGACGAAGGGATCTTCAAAACTTTCTGAATTGGTTCAGCATGAGGTAACAATGCACATTTTATCCCCAAAACGCCACTCTAAAGGCAGTGTCTGATTGCCCATTTCTGAGGGACTCCAGGGCCACAGGGTGGGGTCACTGCCCATGTGTTGTACAGGGGCTGAGCTTGAACCATCTGATGATCCTGGGCCCAGAAAATCTCTTACTCTGCATAATCCCCGTGACCTTTTCCTGTGCCACTCACAGGGGCTGAATAATGTCAGACTCATCGGAGATGGAAATGTTTTGATAGCAAGCACTCTCACAGGGTCCAGCCATAGTCAGACAGGAAAAGTCTCCTCCTCCCACCTTACTTGTCTTTGCTCTGATATAAACCTGTCCCTCTCTCCCCATCTCTGGGAGTCAGCACCCACATTCCTTCATGCACAGTGAAGGAAAAAGGAAAGGAAGGTCTGGTTCCCAGTCCCTCCACAGGCAGAGTTTGAGTTGTTTACATGAGGAATTCAGGGAGCAGAGATCTTCACTTCCATCAGATCTGTCCTCTCAGGAACAAGCTGACACCCTGGGCACCAAAACAGATCACAGGAGCTACAACAAAAAGCAGAGCTCTGCCAAAGCTGCAGGCAGGAATCTGGCAGGGAGAGTGATGGAGCAGGAAGAGTGATGTTCTAGCAGACACGGGGAAGGAAGGAAGAGTGCAAAGTGTAAGAAACTGGAAGAGACTTGAAGGGACACAACGCTGTTTAATGGGGCAGAAGCTGAGAGACAAGTGAGCTGCAGTGCAGGGTGATTTGCATTCTTCCAAGATGATTTGTAAAAGGGGAGAAGTTGTAGATAAAATGTTTTGATTCGCCTTTATCTCACTCTGCCTGTGCACTTGTGTCATTCATTTCATGTAGTAACCTCTACTAAACAGTCAGAGGCTGCAGCATAATTTTGTTGACCCTAAATTAAGGCAAAAAGCTGCAGTTCTGGAATTTGGAGCTCATAGTACCTAATTGGCTGAAGGGCAAAATGAAGAAGTAAAGATCAATGACAGCTTTTTGTGTCACGTGCGAAGTCAAGGCTCATGCATCAGGGAACTTGAAAACAATCAGATTCATCTATGTTCAACCTATGTCTCAATCCTAAAATTGCATTAAAATTAAATTCCTTGTTTCTATTTCTCATTCAGTGGAGCTTAGATGAGCCTCAGATTTTTGGTGTTGCCACGATGGGAGTTACAGGAATTGATTGATTTCTTTGCAATGTGAAGTGCCAAAAATGGGAAACAGTGGCACGTTTGGGGGCTCTTTCTGCTTTCTTTCCTTTCTATTCCTGTCTATCCAACATGGCAGAAATGCAATCTAATTGAGTAGCAGGAAGGCAACCTCCATGAAGTTAGCAAGTGAGGGAAAAAAAGTTTATCTTTCAGGCTTTGAAGGTAGCTGATACCAGGAGAAAAACTGTGCCTGCAATACAAAGCCAGAAGTTATCAACTGTCCCGAGAGATGTTTTCGCAAATCAACAAAGAACACAAGCCAGGAAAAAGAAAAGAGCATTGCTCTGCTCTGTGTCCCTAAGATGGGAAACTGAAAAGCTGTGAGCATAGAGCAGGTGGGAGCTGCCTGTCAGAGGAATGTCAGCTCCCAGCTGAACAGCAATAACTCAGACGTCTCGGGATGAGTCTCTGCTTCCTTGCACACTGTGTGCAGTGTTTCAGTCAAAGCCCAGAAGGAGCAGAGTTTCCAGGCAGCCACAGAACACCACGTCAGGCCGTGCAGAAAGAGGATTGCAGCAGAAATGGGGCTCCTCCAGATCTACCTAAGACCCAGAACTGACACTAGATGAGGCTCAGCTGGAATAATTGTCTTAGTTCCTTCTTTTGTCCCCTCACCCCAAATATGTTTAGCTTGTATTTTGCTTCAGCATGCTTCTATAAATCTTCAGAGGATCCATCTGGGAAGCACTTCCAGGATGGAAATGCTCTGACCTTTGGATGTTGACAGGTGAGGTGCATATTCTCATGTTCTGTATTATTGACAGTGATGGCAGTGCTTCCTTTTTTTTCTGTGAGCAGTGTAAGTTTCATGTGTTTGTATGACTTCAGTATATAGTTACCCTCCTACAAAACAGAATTTATATGCCAATGCTTTTATTCCAGGGATGTAGATGCAGTCCCCCATATGGATAAGCACATGACACCATTTAAGCCAGTGTCTGCAGTGGCTCCCATCCAAGTCCTCTGCAGCACGAGGCCATGGATGTGCCCACAGAGGCAGGAGCCCCGGCACGGCCGGACTGCTCAGGCAGCTCCTGTCTCCTGTGCTCAGGGTGATTCCTTTTCCAGACCAGCGCTGTGCCAGACCTTGCTCCTGCAGATGTGCCCGCTGGCACCTGATGTGTGGCAGCTTTTAAGGGCGAGTCTCCACTGATGAGGGCTGCACAGCACTGCCACTCATTCCACTCAGCACTTGGACAAAATGTAGGACTGAACTCCAGAGGTAGGAACCAGTTCTTTGTTATTTCATTGTCTGAAACTTTTTCCTTGGAGCGTGTTTGGGGAAGGATGGGAGATAGACCTTTTTACCTTTCTGCTTTTGTCTCTTTCTGTGGTGCATCATATCCATCCCTTCCATAGCTGAACCAGTGGGTCTGGACTTTCTGACAGGAATTCAACAGAAAGCTTTTTCAATCATTTGTCCCCCTAGAAGCAGCCCAAGTTTTTGGGGCAATCCGTCTCAAAACATTTCTGTAAAATTTCCTTTTAGTTCTCGATGCTGCTCAGGCCCATCAGACTGACACAAAACCCCCTCAGTCATGTCCCCAGCCCCAGTGGAACAGCTGAGCTCTCTAAACTCCAGCCTTGCACTGTCCCACCATAATTACATTGCAATTATAGATAGAATTGTGGCAGGTTCTGGGCCACTGGCTCTGAATCCTCCTGAATCCTCAGGGCTGACCATGGCATTTGTCTGTACTTTCCTGTCCCTGGGGCTGATCACTCCGTGCTTCCCAAGGAACGGAGCACTCGCTCTGCACAGCTCCTTGGAGCTGAGGGTGCCTGCCCACACTGAGAGATGGGTGAGTGAGCGACGCCGTAATGTTCAGGTGGGTTCGGCTGATCTCGCGTTGGTTCGGCTTATCTAGTTCGTTTGGGCTTATCTAGTTCGGTCGGGCTTATCTAGTTCGGTCGGGTTTATCTAGTTCGGTTGGGCTGAACGCGGTTCCGTCCCGTTCCGTTCAGTTCACCTCAGCTAAGCTCGGAGCTCGGATCGATTCGGCAAATCGCGGCCAGAGTCGGCCGTTCGGGTAGGCTCGGCTGTTGTCGAGTACGCTCGGCTGTTGTCGGCCACACTCGGCTGTTGTCGGCTCCACTCGGCCACACTCGGCTCCACTCGGCCCTTCCTCACTCTGCTCCGCGCTGCAATGGCGGCCGCTGGCAGGGCCCCGCTCCCCGGCCTGAGCCCCGGGAGGGGACAGAGCGCTGGGACAGCCGCCTCAGCCCGGCTCACCCTGTCCCTGCCCGGCCCCGCGTCCCCCGGAGCGCGCCCTGCAGCGCAGAACGCAGCCTTTGGGCCAGGAGCGGGGACAATGCCCTCGGCTCGGCAGCAGCGCCGGGAGGCAGCGGGCGGTGCCCTCAGGTGAGCGGCCGGAGGGGAGGGAGCTGGGCCGGGGGCACCGGGGCCGGGGGCACCCACAGGGGGCCGGGGCTGCTTTGGGCGCTGCTGCGTGGGACCCGCTGCGGGTGGCACGGCTCTGTCCCGGGCCTTGCGGCTCTCTGGGATCGTGTGCCGTGGAATGAAGCTGGGGCTCGTCCCAGCTGCGGGAACAGCGTTTGATTGGGTGAGAAACAGAGTTCACTCTTTAGAATTTTTACACGTTTGTTAAGGGATAAAAGGCAGCGCTGGAGTGCTTGGCTGTTTGCCAGGAGCACCCGGTTCCCTTAAACCGTGTTCTCTAGATTCTGTTCCATTGCAGTGGTGTGTGCATATTCATTAGAGTTTATACATATTCAAACAGTCCTTTTCAGTTTAGATGTTCTTTTGCTTGGTTTGAACCTTCGTGCCATCTTGTGGATTAAACCAATATACTTTCTTTCTTCCTGTGGTGCCATCCTGTTTTATTTTCACTCCCTCGTTATCAAATAACGAGGGTCAGTAAATTTTTCCTTTTTTTCAGTGCTCTGGTTTCTGTTATCTTGTGTTTCAGATAAGATTGTCCCCAGCTGTGGGAAATCACCTCATTATCTGACACCATTTTCTGAGTTCCTTACATGTAACAGCATTTGAACATTTCACAGTCTCTATGATGCTGCAGTCTAAACTAGTGTCTGTTACAGTGCTGTTTATGAAAGCTGTGCAGTGCATACACGAACTGACTGATTATCCTTGATCCAGAGCAGTAGTTACAGACTGTCCCCTCTCGGGAGTTTTGTGGTCAATAACACCGTGCCAGAGCTCAGACATAAATGGCAAGGGCAAGAACTGCATTTGTTCTGTTCCATTCTGGGCTGGGCTGAGCTCTGTTTGCCGGGAAGCAGCGGGATGGGTGTCCCTGTGCCCACCCCCCTGGGTCCCAGAGAGAAGCTGCTCCTGTGGCTGCAGCTGAGGGGCACTGGGAAACCTGAACGGTCCTGATGGAAACCGATGCCAAACCGGGTTTGGTTGGGTTTGGGACTTGCCATTTTCCCCTGATCCGTGGGTTTTGCCTTAGGAAACAGGAACTGGGCACCGGGACATTTTGTTAGCCTAGAAGGGACGAGTTTGTATTTATTTCCTGAGGCACCTGGATCGATTTGGGTCTCAGTTGGCACCCGAGAGCCTCCTCTGTGTCCTGGCTGGGGTGGTGGCTACCAAAGGGGTAAAAGCTGGAGCAGGAGGGTGGGTGGAGAGGAGAGCAGTGGCTCTGTGGGGATTTGCATCTGGAAAGGGCCCTCAGTTTCCTGGCGGGAGTCCTGGAATCAGAGCTGAGAGTCGCTGAGCAGTGAGGATCGTGCAGCTGCAGCGCTGAGAGTGCAGAGGCTGCAGTGGGCGATGTCTGCTCGCTCTCCTGATGTCCCATCTCTAATGCTGGGCTGGCACCCAGGCACCTCCCAGGGCTGCACAGCCTCAGGGCAGGGGTGGTTTGTAAATGTTTTAAATGCTGCAGCAGCTCCCTCAGGCTGGATGAGTGTGAGGATATCCAGCTCTGCCTTCGGGCTTGGAGCACGGCAAGGGTGCAGGGCTCACGGTCAGTCTTGTTTAAACACTTGTAATAGCAAAATATTTTAAAGCAGAGACTGTGAGGCAATAACAAAGGCGAGTCTGTGGCAAGGATAGGTCCGAGGTGTCTTTATTAAAGATCCACACTGCTGGATGTTGTGTCAGAGCCCTCTGGGGACAGAAGGTGTCCCCAGAGGTTCATGAAGCCCTTGTTTCCTGCTGGCAGGGCAGGGGGTGAGCCCAGCCTCGGGGGCTGTGTGGCTCCTCCTGCCTGGAGCAGGGACAGCCCGTGGGGCTGAGCCCCAGAGGTTCAGTTGCTGGAGCAGGTGGGGATCTCTTTGTGCCTGGGAATTGTCGCTGCTGCGTTCCTGTCCCAGCTGCAGGGTTCCCTCAGAGCCCGTGCCCTGCAGCAGCACTGGGAGCTCCTGGGCTGGGCAGGGAGCAGCTCTGGCCTGGGGCTCTCAGTCCCATCAGTGCCCATGGAAACCCAGCTGGGTTTGTTCTGCTGCCATCGGCCTCTCTGCTGTGCCAGCCTCGGTGCCAGGGCACAGAGCTGTGGGAAGGCTCCATCCCATCTGTGCCAAGCGCTGCCAGCGCTTCCAGCAGCGCTGCTGGGGCACCAAGGGCTGCCTTTGGAGCCTGGCTGGCACAGAGGGTGACACACTCTGCCCTGCAGCACCCAGCTGCATCCCACAGCTGCACAGTTCAGCCAGCAGGGAGCAGAGTCAGCTCTGGGGCCCAAACCAGGTTTTGTCCCCCAGAGAGCCCCTGAGCTTCCTGAGGCAGCACACAGATGTGCCCTGGCCTTTGGGGCTCATGGTGAGGGCTGCCAGGGCATTGTGATAAGGCTGAGCTGGAGCTTTCTTAGAAAAGCCATCAGCTGTAAGGAGAATCTCTGGCAAACAGGTGGCTGGGACACTGGCTGGGAGCAGGTCCTGGCCTTTTCTCTTCTTTGCTTTAACCTGTTCTTAAGAGGAGCCCAAAACTGCAAAATGGAAAGGAAGGGGGCTGTGGGGGTGAAAGTTGCTTTGCATTTTTTGAAGTGTTGCTGTGGATTTTGGTGTGTCAAGTGGCACTACCAAAACAGCACTGGAATAACCAAACTTCAGGACTCTGCACTTAATTCCTTGAATGTGTTTGTGTGGGTGCAGGAAATGCCAAATCCCAAAGCAATTCCATGTCTGTAACTTCAAGTGCAACATCTTTAAAAGCAAGTGCTCAGTGTGGGCTTTCCATGTGGGTGCAAATGGCCCAAGGCCTTTCTTGTGTCCCAAAAGCAAAGAACCTTTCCCTGGGAGGTTTTGGAGGGGATTCTCTTTGGGATTTCTTGTGGTGCAGCATCCCGGGTGTCCCTTCCTTTGTGCAAAGTCCAATGGGAAAGGATGGAATGGCTGCCACGTGGGCTCTGGGATAAAAATGGTTCTGTTCAAATGAGGCAGAGAATGCAAGATGAAAAATGAGCATCCTTTTATTGTCTGAAATAGTCAGGAATAAAAGTGCTGGCAAAGGACACGTTTGTGTTTGAATTGGTGTCACCTCTCCTGGGTAAAACCCCATAGTGAGCCAGCAGAGCAGAGCTATGAGAGCTGGGATCCTTGGACTTGCACAGTGGACTTAATTTTCTTTTCTCCTCTCTTTCAGGGCAGGAAAAATCATCCAACTCCTCCCATGTTTGCCCGAAGCTTTGGTGTTGGAGCAGCCAAAGGCAAGAGGCTTCAGCAGCAGGGCTCTGCGCTGGAGGGCTCTGGTCCTGCCCACGCTGTGGGGTGAGTCAGAGGGACACAGGGCTCCCCTTTTCCTCTCTGCTGGCATGAGCTGCCATGGCAATGCCATTGCTGCCAGCCCAGCCCCAGCTGTGCCTGCTGGAGAAGGGCAGAGGTGCAGAGGCAGTGCCAGAGTTCCCTGGGGATGCTGGAGCTGTGGTGCTGGCTGTGCCCTGAGGGCAGCTTGGGCATTGTCTGTGCAGCCCAGGGCTGCTCTGGGCCTTCCTTGGGGAGCTCTCAGTGCATGCCCAGCTCTGCCAGGGCTGGCAGCCGCTGCAGGGCTGGGTGACAGCCTCTGCTGGGGCTGGGGGCAGGCACGGCCCTGGCACAGGGGCAGGGGCAGGGCTGGCAGCATTTGGGAGCCGTGGGAGCAGAGTGAGGGTGGTGCTGGGCACAGGGGTCAGCCTGTGCTCATGTCAGCACAGCCCTGCAGGGCCCTGGCATCTGGGAGCAGCTCCAGCTCTCCTGGGGCCCAGGGATGGGCTCTGAGGGACTGGCTTTGCCTGTGCCTTTCCAGGGCAGCAGGAACAAGGGCAATGTGGTGCCAGAGCTGGGGCCCAGCAGGCTGTATTTCCCTCTGGGAAAGCAGAACAGACTCTGGGCTGAGCTGAGTTTCCTGCAAGGGCTCAGAATCCAGGGAAAAGGGAGTTCAGGAATTGCATCTGCTGCTGGGAACATTGCCTTAGGCTTGCTCAGTTTGTGTCTGTGAGCAGTGGGCTCTGGGCTGGAGAGGAGCTGTTGGCAGCAAAAGATGGAGTCCATGCTCTGCAGGGATGTGCAGGGAAGGACTGAGTGGGAGGGAAGGGCAGTATTTAGAGATGAGATCAGCATTTCTCCCAGAATTGGGGTGCAGCAGTGATGGGGGTGGTTGGCTTTGCTCTGGGCCTTGTTATTCCTTGTGCAATTTGCAAATTCTGCTGCATGATTTCCTGTCCAGTATCTTTCTAACAAAAACTGACAGAAATTGAGGTTTAGGAGTAGAACTGAGGTCCATTCACTGCACAGTCTTGCCAAGGCTGGAGGACTGGGATGATGGCTGCTCTCAGCAAAGGTCACTTCTCAATGCTGTGTCAGATTTGCCTCAGTGCTGGGCAGGAAAGGTGAGGGTTTGGATCAGGAATTGTGCAAACAAGGCCTGGGTGTGGTTGATTTGTTTTGTTTTTCAGTGAGCCAGGGCTGGCACAGGGAATGGTGCAGGTGCTGCTCTGGCACCAGAGCTGCTGCCCTTTGGAGCCATGTTCAAGGTGTGACCATAGAACACTTTGGGGGCTGTTTTCAGCACTCTGGGTTTCAGAACTGCTGTCCCCAGCCCGTTGCCAGCCCTGGGACATCTGCTCTGCTTCCAGGCTGTCCTTGCTGGAGCAGCCTGGTCCCTGCCGTGCCCAAGCCCTGAGACACAGAGAGAGCCCTGTGCCCTGGGGCCTTTGGCACCTTGTCAGGAACGTGGCAGCAGCCCCGGGAGCAGGCTGGAGGTGAGAACTGGGTGTTGGGAGCTGAGGAGTGCTCATCTGGGCTGGGGGGAAGGGGCAGGAGTTTCCATGCCCCTGGAGCTTTCCTGCTGGCATGGGGCAGCACAGGGAGCAGCATTCATTGTGCCCCTCCCACGGGCAGTGCTGGCCTGGGTGTCTGTGCTGTGCCACCAGAGCGTGGCACTTGGCTGCTGTCACTGCTGTCACTGCCAGCCCAGCTGGGGGCTGTGCCCTCCTGCCAGCCCCAGCCAGGAGCTCCAGGGGTGCCTCTGGGCCCTGCTGGGAGCGTTTGCTGGGAATGTGCCCCATCCCTGGGAGCGTCCCTTTGTCCCTGGGCTGCCAGCCAGAGCTTTGGGCTGCTCAGGCTCAGGCTGGGATTGCCAAAGGCACCGAGAGGGAGCAGCACAGGGAGGGTGCTCAGAGAGGGGCTGGCAGAGCCCAGCTGGCAGGCTGGGCTGGCTGCTGCAGGTGGGGCTGTGTGCACTGCAGGCAGGGAATGTCCCCTTCCCTCAGCAGCCCTGCAGATCCCAAGGGCTCCCAGAGCAGGATTTTATTCCTTACCTCCCTTTGTGGAGATTGATTCTCCACATTGCCATGAGCAATTCTTGGATTTCTCTAGGAGCAAACCTCCCAGCAGAGCCAGATTGCAGTGGAGGCCAGAGCTGTGTTTGGAGCAGGGAGTGCTGAGAGCTGCGTCTGCCTGTGCTGCCCCAGCCTGAGCACAGGCACAGGGAACAGCCTGGGCAAAGGGATTGGGGCAGTGGCTGATGCCCAGGGAGAAGAACACAAACCCACAGCCCTTCAGCCTGACAGTCCCCTCCACCCAGAGCTCAGCACACATCCTCACAGGGAAGCCCAGCAGCTGAAGGGAAAAAAACCCACAGAAGGAAAAGGTGAGTTATTTTGCTGTAAAGTTATTTCAAGTTGTTATTAAAGCCCAGCCAACATTTGCTCTTGATTTTGGTTGGGTGAATAACCAGCAGTGGGCACAGGTGATGCCATTCATGTGGCTGAAAACCTGGTGTGATCTAGAGGGGATCCAAGAACTGTTTGTGTAGGGCAATGGAATGTGAGGGGATGTCAGGGGCAGTGAGGTGGCATTTTGGAGGGAATTGCTGAGGTCATGGAAGGGAGACCAGCAGACAATTTCCCTGGGAAATCCCAGGCCCCTCGGGCCCACAGCCAGGACTCTCCAGGGCTGAGGGGGCAGCACTGGAGACTCCCTGTGTGCTCCTTCCTTGGCAGCAGCCAGCAGGGAAGGAGAAGAGGATCCCTGTGGGATGAGACTGCAGAGAGCGAGCAGAGGAGCAGCCTCGGGCTGGAGAAAGGCCAAGGGACCAACACGGTGGCACCAGGGCACCTGTGAGGAACAGAATGGACACTTGGAGGCCACATGGAGGTGAGGAGTGCATGGTTTGGGCAAAATGTCAGTGAATCTCCAGAGAGATAAGGAGGGGATATTTAGGAGGGAAACGCTGAGGTGAGGAGTTCACCCAGCCTGGCACAAGGTGTGTTTGCACAGGCTGGGGCCAGAGGTGAAGGTCAATCCAAAGCCAGCCCTGCTCAGCCTCTCAATCCCAGGATAAGATGTACAGGCTGCCCACTGAGGGATTAAAAATACATAAAAATGAAACCAAGAGCATTAATGAGATTCCTGGGAATCCCATTAACTTGTTGTCAGAGCTCCTGATACAGTTTGGAGCTTTGATGACAAGAATGCATTTCTTTATTTGGATTATTCACTGTGTGGGATATGGGGTTTGTTTGGATTTCAAAGCCCTCATGGTGGCTCTGACACTGCTCAGGAGCTGGTAGAGAAGCAGAGTCAGAGCTCCTGGCAGGCACAGGGTGTTTTCCCCCATAGTGGATTGTGGAGCACTTGTCTGGGACCTGGATTGTCCCTCTGGGTGATGCCACTTGCTGTGGTTTGTATCATTCCATCCATTTAATTCCCAAAACTTCTCAGCCCAGGGGTTGGAGCTGACAGGGCAGGACAAAGATTGTTCTCTGTGTGGTGCCCAGATTTGGGGTTCCCTGTCAGCTGTGCCAGTTCTGATGAATTCTACCCATAGCCCCAAATTCCCTGCTCCATTCCCACTGCAGTAACCTCCCAGTGCCCCATGGAGTGGGGGCATTCCCATGCAGAGCTGCTGCCTTGGACAGCAGCTGTGTCAGGAGCCAGCAGAGCTTCCAAGGAAGCTCAGCAGCACAGGGCCAAGGCCAGGGTTCTATTCCATAGAAGTGGCTGTTGAGAGCCCTCAGCCCAATGGTGTCCCTGGGCTCACTTGCCAGAGCTGCCTGGAATGGAGCCCATTTTCACCCCCCTGAGCTCCAGGATGGAGAAGATCCAGTGGATGGTTTAGAGCAGGAGAAGGCAGTGGCCAGATGTGCTCCCAACCTGAGCTGAGGCAGCCCCTGTGCCCAGGGGGGGACATCTCTCCCTGCAGAAGCTCAGCTCCTTTCAGAGCCTCAGCAGGGGCCTCTACAAATTCTTTTCTCTCAGGAAAGGGATGCACAGCTTTGTCTTCAGCACCCCTCCAGTGGCACCTACCTGGGAAAGCTTTCCATCACTTCTGCACTTCCAGCTGGATCCCTGGAAAACTCTAAACTCCATCCCACTGATTTTCAGGTACCTCTGAGGGCTGCTGCCTGGGCTTGAACACCTGTGGGGGAAGATGGCCTTGGCTTTAATGCTGCTGATGGCCGATGGCCTCAGGCTGGGGAGGAGGGAAGGGATTTGGGGTGGCTGGGCCACAGCTGGCAGCTGTGTGGGAGCTCTGAGCCAGGAGTTGCTGCTGAGTCCCTCTGCAAAGGGCCCGTGCCTCCATTCCCAGCAATGCCAGCTGCTCCTTGGGGTCCTGCTGGGCTGCTGGTGGTCTCTGTCCGGGCTGAAGCATTTCCAGGGGCCTGCTCAGAGCAGCCCCTGGCCCAGGAGCCACGGTGCAGGCACAGCTCCTCCCCTGCAGATGCCAAAGACACGAGGTGCTGCTGCCTTTCAGGAGCTCCTGGCCTCCTCCTGCCCTGCGCTCCCAGCCAGCTGGGACACAGCCAGGGAACACCAAGGAGCATGGCTGGCAGCCAGCAGGAGACACCGAGGCCCCTGGGCCAGAAAAACAGCCCTGGCCTCAGCAGCCAGCATGGTTTGGAGCTGGCAACACTCACCTGCAGGCAACGCCCCCCGGCACTCTCCAGAAGAGCTTTGGCCACGGAGCAAGGTAACCCTCAGGGCTGTCTTGTTGGCTTCTTCCTGGGGAAACAAAGGGACATTGTGGGAGCACATTTACAGCTGCTGGGGAAATCCTGGCAAGGGCAGAACAATCAGGGCTATGGGGAAGAGTTTGGTGCTGCCGTGTTGAGTGCCAGCCAGTTCTGCCCCACAGCCATTGCAGGGGCTGCTGTGCAAAGCAGCAGTAGCAGAAGGGAAGGAGCTGCATTTGCAGAGGAGTTCTCTTAGTGGCAGCAGTCATTGCCATCCCACACAGGGCCTTTGGAACAGCCCTGGGATTGGCTCAGGTGTTTGGAGCAGGGTGCTGAGAAGGTCAAAATTCTGGGTTTGATGCACAGCTGGGCTAGTCACTTCTCAGCATTTGACTTGATGATTCTCACGGCTCTGGAAATAAAGAACAAATCGTTTGCACTGGTTTTTTTTAACCCATGGGGTTTTTCCTAGCATTTCCCTGGGGCTCCAGTCCCACCCAGGCACAATGGCAGCGGGAGCAGCAACGCCTCGGCCCCAGCGGCCGTCCAGAGCGGCTGCTCGTGGCTGGGAAGCTGCAGCCCCCAGCAGGGGCTGCGGGCACGGAGCAGGGGCTGCGGGCGCTGGGGCTCGTAGGGGAGCGCGGCGCTCGTGGCGTTACCGGGCCGGGGGGGCTGCGGGGCGGCGCCGTGTCCGCCAGGGGGCGCCCCGCGGGGCGGGCGGCGGCGCTGAGCGAGCGGCGATGCCCATGGGGTCCCGGGGCCGGTACGGGCGGTCTCGGTGTCCTTCCCGCTGCCAGCCGCGATCCAGAGGCTGCTCCGGGGAAGCGTCGTCCTCCCGGCGAGCATAGCAGCGGCACAGCACCGGCTCCCTGCCGCCGCAGCCGGAGCGTGCCTGGATCCCCGGCGAGACCCAGCCCCGCACTGGCCGCAACCGGAGCGGCAGCGCCTGTCCTGAAGCGGCTTTTCCCGACCGCAACGATAGTGGTCCCGATCCCAGCCCCAATCCTACCTCGATCCTCCGGTCCCGGCACCCATACCCTGCTCGCCAAGGAAGAAGCAGCTTGGCCCAGCTACCACAGGAAATACCGGCAGGACCAGGATGCGAACACGCAAGCCTAGATCCCCATCCCGGTCCCGGTCCCACCCGAGCAGCTTGGATCCCGCGCAGCACCAGCAGCAACTCCCGATCCGGATCTCCGCACAGCGCTCCGACCGACGCTCCCGCCGCTTCCCGAGATGAGCATCCCCCGTAGGAAACGGGACAGGCGTCGATCCGCCGGGATTTATGGGCGGGCGGGGGGCGGGGGGGAGGCGGGGCCCCGGGGGCGGGGCCTGCACAGGTGCGAGGGGCGGGGCCTGCACAGGTGTGAGGGAGCCCAGTGCGGCTGCGCGGGGCGGGGCCTTGGGGGATTTAAGGCGCGGGGAGGGCACGGCGGAGCCATTTGCTCCTCGGCGCTGGGTGAGGGAGGTTGCTGCTGGCCGGGGCTCTATATCTCTTTTTCTCTGCGTTTCTTTTCTCCTGCGTTTCTGTTGTGTTGTATTTCTGTGTATTTCTCCTTTCTACCCTCCCTTCCACCCCTCCCCCACCCCCTACACCCTCCCCCCCCAAACCCCCCCCCTCCCTCTCCCCCCTAGCCCTCCCCTCCCTCCCCCCCTGCGGCCGCCCCTCTCTCATTCTCTACCCTACCTACCCTACCCTACTTTTCTATCCTTTGCCTTCCCTCCCCAGCCTGACTCCCCCTGACCCCGCTCCCAGCTCCCCCTTCCCCCCCACCAGTCGCTCCCCACCCGCCCTCAATCCCGCTCCTTCCTCCAGCCTGCCTTCCTCCCAGCCCCGTCCTCTGCTGTCCTGCACACCCCGATCTCTCCCCACCTTCTTCTCCGTTCCCCTGTTCTTGTTTTCCATTCCCCACTCTCCTCCTTTTCTCGCAGGCGCGGGGCTCGGGGTGCCGGGCAAGAATAAAGCCCTGAGGGCCGGAGCCCGGCGCCCCCGCCTCGCTGGGGTCCCCACACGGGGCCGGAGCCGCTCTGCGGGTCCCCCCATTGCAGTCCAAACACACCGCCCGACACCGCCGGGGCTCCGGCTTTCCCAACATCACACTGGGGGGGTCCTGGGGTGGGGGGCCCGAGTTACAGGGGCCCCCTCATTAGGAGGGGATCCCAGGGGGGAGGGGGGGTTAGGAGGGGCCCCCTCATTAGGAGGGGGTCCCAGGGGGGAGGGGGGTTAGGAGGGGCCCCCTCCGGAGGAGGGGGTCCCTGGGGGGGGGGCCGGGGAGGGCCCCCTCCGGAGGAGGGGGTCCAGGGGAGGGGGCGGGGCCTGGGGGGGTAATTCCCCCTCCAGGCTCCGCCCCCTTCCCCGGACCCCCTCCTCCGGACGGGGTCCCGCCCCGGCCCCCTCCAGGGACCCCCCTCCTCCGGACCGGGGTCCGGGAGGGGGGGAGGGTGGGGCGGGCGGGGGACAGGACCGCAGCGGACGGTCGTGTGTCTGGCAATTTTTTTTTTTTTTTTAACGTGTGTTCACGCTGCAGAGTGACGTGCCCCCCCCTGCTTCCCCCCCACCCCACCCGCCCTCCCCCCCCCTCCCGGGCCCCGGTCCGGAGGAGGGGGTCCCTGGAGGGGGCCGGGGCGGGACCCCGTCCGGAGGAGGGGGTCCGGGGAAGGGGGCGGAGCCTGGAGGGGGAATTACCCCCCCAGGCCCCGCCCCCTCCCCTGGACCCCCTCCTCCGGAGGGGGCCCTCCCCGGCCCCCCCAGGGACCCCCTCCTCCGGAGGGGGCCCCTCCTAACCCCCCTCCCCCCTGGGACCCCCTCCTAATGAGGGGGCCCCTCCTAACCCCCCCTCCCCCCTGGGACCCCCTCCTAATGAGGGGGCCCCTGTAACTCGGGCCCCCCACCCCAGGACCCCCCCAGTGTGATGTTGGGAAAGCCGGAGCCCCGGCAGTGTCGGGCGGTGTGTTGGACTGCAATGGGGGGACCCGCAGAGCGGCTCCGGCCCCGTGTGGGGACCCCTGCGAGGCCGGGGGCG